GGGACAGGGAGGCCAGAGAAGAGGCTGGCGGGAGGGTGTTGTTACATGAGATGGTGGTGGCGGTGGGGTGGACAGGAGTGGGTGGACTCGGGACCCCCCTTGGAAGCAGAGCCTGCAGCACTTGCTGAGGGGACGTGGGGCGGAAAGTCAAAGGCCCACCTGGGTGTTGGCCTGAGCAGTTGGGCATAAGGTCTCGCCGTGTCCTGAGGCAGGAAGAACAGGAGGGATAGAGGCGGCTCTTTTAAGAGAGGTTAAGCACCTGAGAAGCCCAGAGAGGGAGACAGGGGAGCAGCATCACACAGCAAATCGTCCATAGAAAGCGGTTCTCCTCAGGTCACCTGACTTGCACCCCCCGAGCACCTTCCTGTGTTCTGTGGCTTAAAAAGAATTAATATTTGGACATGAGTTTTTGACCCCCAATTCCTCCATTTCTCCCAGCCTGATAGAGTTGATCGGCAAAGTGTAGGATCAGTGGTTCTGCCTGTGGCCCAGGAGGGAGAGAGATGCCCAGAGAGACAATGGGAAGCTGGCACGGATATCAGTTTCCAGTCACGGAACACCATTGTTATACTCAGTTATAGTTTATTCCAGCAGTGACAGAGTGAGGACACGGAGCTGCTCAGCCATGGCCCTTGGTCTCTGGTTGCTCACGTCTGTTGGAGGAATACAGACATGGAAACTGACTGTTAAGAGTACAGTGTGGCCAGGACACAGCTGATAGGGCTCAGGAGGCACAGGGCAGCCTGCTGACTGGAGGTGCAATCCAGGAAGACTTCCTGGAGGAGGCGGCACCTGTGCCAGATCGTAACAAACATAAAAGTAGAAAGTGGGCAGAGGCGGGGTGAAGATGGCCGTCCAGTTGGTTTCAGTGCAGGACTCTGAGCAGAGAGGAGCTGGCTGGCTAGCTGGGAGATGGGACACCAGGGAGACCGCTTGTCACTTTGTAACTATAGCCTCCGAATTTTGCACTGTGTGGAAGTAATTCATATTTTTGAGTGGGAAGCACTCCAGGAAAAGTGTTGGTCACATGCAGAGGTACAGAATCCAGAAGGCTCGGGGTCTTCAGGCAGAGACATTTGCATTGGCATGGGGAGGGGAGCATTTGAAGAGAGACTGAAGTTGAAATCAGGAGCCAGAATGCAAGGGTCAGGCCTTCCAGATCAGGACAGGATTCAGACTTTACCCCATGGGTAGTGGGACGGACTTAGCATCTATACTCATAAGGAATATTGGTCTGTGCTTTTCTTCCTTTTGATGTTTTTGGCTTCAGTCTCTGGGTAGTGCTGGCCTCATTAAATAAGTTTAGAAGTGTTCCCTTCTCTTCAGTATTTTGGAAGTGTTTGAGAAGGACTGGTATTAATTCTTTAAATGTTTGGTAGAATTCGCCAGTGAGGCCACCTGGTCCTGGGCGTTTCTTGGTTGGGAGATTTTTGATGAGTGATTCAGTCTCCTTACTTGGTATAGGTCTACTCAGATTTTCTGTTTCCTCCTGAGTCAGTTTTGGTAGTCTGTGTGTTTCTAGGAATCTGTGCATTTCATCTACGTTGCCTGATTTGCCAGGGTGCACTTGGTCAGAGTGTTCTGTTAGAATCCTTTTTCCCCATTACAGGGCTCCAAAACCAACAGAACATTCTGGAAGACTAGTGAAAGGGGTGTCCAGGAAGGCTTCCTAGAGGAGGTGGTGTTTAAGCTGAGCCTGAAAGGGTGAGTAGAAGGGAGAGGAAAATCAGCGAGCAGAGCAGCCAGACAGGGAGAAGTGAAGGACACACGGCCACCGACAGCAAAGGGAGCCGCAGGAGGGAGTCTGGGCAGGAGGTTGGGAGATGTCCAGACTCAGGTGTCCTGTCCCTCTCTCTTCCCCACCGCTGGCTGCTTCCAGATGACACCCCTGTGGCCACCGCCAAGAACATGCCCGGGGACAGTGCGGATCTGTTTGGGGACGGTGCGGCAGAGGACGGCAGTGCTGCCAATGGGCGCCTGTGGCGGACAGTGATCATCGGGGAACAGGAGCATCGCATCGACCTGCACATGATCCGGCCCTACATGAAGGTGGTCACTCACGGAGGTGAGGCCAGCACCCTCAGCACCCTCTCCTGGCTCCAGCTGGGACTGCTGGACAACTGGAGACTTGTCAGTGCCCCTCCCTGGACCTCGGTCTCTTCAACTGATCCACGGAGGGTGGGTGGGCCGTGGGCAGTGCCCACATGGGGGTGCCTCTGATGTTGGCTGTCACCCCCCAGGGCCAGGCTGCCGTGACTCAGAACTGTACCCTCCTGAGCACATGGGCAGTGGGAAGGGGCTGGCCAGAGATGAGGTGGATGTGGGAGATAGTGCACGGCGTGGCTCAGGGCTCAGGGCTGGAGGCCACTCACTGGCCGCCTTTCCCCAGGGTACTATAGCGAAGGTCTCAATGCCATCATCGTCTTTGCTGCCTGCTTTCTCCGAGACAGCAGCTCACCCGACTACCAATACATCATGGAGAACCTCTTCCTGTAAGTCACCCGCCTGTTGTGGGCAGCCTGGGGCCAGCCGCCGACCGCTCTGAGGTGTCCAGGCTGGTGGGGGTACAAGGCTGCAAGAAGCATGCAAGATGGGCTGCAAGAAGCCCATCATGCAAGGGCTCTGAGCGGCGCTGCCTGGCACCAGGGAAGGCGTGGCTGCCAGCAGACGTTGATCTGGGCCCTTGCTGGCCCTTCAGCACAGTGGTGGCC